TAAATTTTTTATTTTTGTTTCACTTATATGTGTTGTGAATAGAAGTTGCGTTTTCATTCTCGGACATTCAATTATTTTCCATTCCGTGCACTTGTACAAACACCAAGCGCTTTCAGTCATTCCAATCAGGCAAATGTCATGGGGTGGTAATGGTTTTGGGAAAACCCCAATTACATACAATTGCTTTCAGCACTGTGCCGAAGCCACAAGTCGGCTGTGCGGAAATTGCATTTCATTCATTGCGTGCACACCGAAATCAAATTAGCCGCATTGGTTTTCAAAGAAAAAAAAGAAAATATTTCTCGACCTTATATTTTTCGAAATCAAACAAGTTGAATTGCATTCGCAAATATTATTTCAACGGATGTTTGCCGTTTTTTCCACTTCGTTTTACTTTTAATTCGATAATCGAATTCGAGAGAGTTTCAGTGCAATGTGGTTTCAAAACGACAACGTTCTTTCACTCAATGCAGAAAGTTTTACGACGACCGAAATACTCTTCTGTCTGAAATATAATAATCTAATTGAAACGATAGAAGCAAATTTATGTTGAGACGACAGACTTTTCAAAGTAAATGTGAAAGATATAATAAATGTAAATACGAGATAGAGAAAGACAATTTTTTCCTTTCAAAGAAAATGAAATCTACGTGAAATATGAATTCCCTAGATTGCCTAATGAAATACTGCTTAACTCCCATACTTCAGAATAATGTAAAATGTAGAACATAATAACATGAATGAGTCGAAGAAAATTTACGAATTCATGGCAATTATACTACCTTTATGCTTCGATAACGTATCGATGTCACATCTTTTCATGTAAAAAACCTTGGACGGAAAAAAAATCATGACTGCAGAAAAGAAAAATGTGTCGAAATTGCTTTCATTTTTTCTTTTTCTTATGTTTTCATTTCGAACACACATTGTTTACAGCTATTGGATTTGTCGAGGAACAATCTAAACGGTTTTGATGACATACAAGTGTGGAAACTGCGACAAATAAAAGATGTTAAACTGGAGAACAACCCGCTCATATGCGACAGATGCCACATGGGAGCGCTTATAGAAATCGCACAAACGGTACGTATAATTTTGTAATATTTCAGGCCAGTAGAGGAAAAAAAGCGGAGAGAGAGAGAGATGACGAATGTCGAACCCAAACACACAGAAGACTAGCTAGAACCAGAGGGAAGACACACACACACACACGAAAAAAAAGATTCAATCCGATTCAGGCTGTGCGCTATGTTTTTCAGTTCAATATTTTTTCGATCTTCGAGTTTGCATCACTTCGTTTGCATTGGGTGCTTTTTTGTCTGTACGTCTCAAGTTGTCATCGTTGTTAATCTGTTAAGATTTATGCGATTCATGAATATGTTGTGTGATAGGAGTTTTGCCTCTCTGTGTGTTTTTGTCCCATATTCACTGGGTCGGATTTGAGAAAACAACTATTCAGACAAATGGCTTAAAAACTCCCGTTCGGTACCAAACATATGGCATGTATGATTGCATCCAAACGCAAACCAAGCGGCAAAATGTCAACGTTTTTGACAAACAAAATTGTATCGAGTTGAGGCCATGCGAATTGAATGTGATTTAGTGATGTGTACACAGGTACACACACACACACAATATTGGACATCTGGGCTATAAAAAGTCTCTTTTCTGGTCAAGCACACATTCTAATCTAATCACTTTTCCCCGTTCTACACCACATGCACAGCTTTCATGGAACGTATATCCGATTTGCTATATGCCGGAACGGTTGCGCGCCAAACCAATATCCGTTTTGAATGTGACAACATTGGACTGGTGCACTGAATTCGACAACGACCTGTATGATATGGCTGGCATTTCGGAGAATATCCTGTTAAAACGAGGTACACACTATCGATAGCTAAATCATTCGCACACAAATATTCGATTATTTCACATGAACCACGTTTCCTTTTGCAGGCAATTTCAATCTTTTTGCCATCATTTGCGCCGTTGGCTTCATCACCATCGCAATCATTGTGCTAATTATTGTCTTGAGCGTGAATCGACACTCGGCCAAATACTACACAAATGAGGACAAACGTTGCGGTAAGTTATCTAACATTTGCATGGCTTTTTAACACCTCAATGGGCTAATTCGTTCAATTCACACACGCACCTTTTGCAGACGGACTGTACGAGAAAAATATCGATACGCTTTCGATCACCGGAAATGAATTGAACTACAAATTTCCCATCGATGACATCATCTATACGATTGACGAGTCAACGCTGCAGTCGACCACTCAACCACCATTAATAACGTCGTTCACGACACGCAACGGGTAAATTTGAATTGACATGCAGTTTTTTTCCTTCGTTCATTCATCCATTTCTTTTCGGGTTTGAGTCAATGGCAGACGTCGAATTTTGCGTTTGCCTTTAAAATGCCATTAACGGCAATTATCGATAAGTTTGAACGTTGATTTCCACGACGAGAGAGAGAGAGAGAGAGAGAAAGAGGAAAGGCATAGAGAACATCTTTTTTTTACCAGAGTAACTATTAAGTACGTTTTAATTGCTGAAGAAGACCTTTTAATGAATTTCGCTGGAAATCGATTTAAAATTCCAAGAATTTTACAAACAAGTCGATGTTGAGTGTTTGCATTGAAAATTCATATCAAGTGCTCAAAGCGGAGGTGGCAACAGCAGCAACCCACGCACAACGACTGAGACCGTGTGCATGTTAAGAGCCAAATAATTTTCTTAAGTAAGAAATTACAGTCAAGTGGTATTCGATACCATCCCCTTTCGTCACTATTCATTGAATCAGTGTCTCGCCCTGTCTCCTTCTCCTGTGTCCATGTATTTGTTTGCGTGACTCTCGTTTGTGTTACTTTTACAAAAGGATGTATGTAGTTTTATTGCCGTTTTCATCATCGTTTCACATCATCATCATCCCGTTCTCAAGCGCTCAAATAGTTTTAAGTGTGCGGAACATTTAAGTATTTGCTTTTAGTGGCTCATTAAAATGATTTTCACGCCTTTTGCCGCAACAATTTCATCTACTTTTCCCACTTTCACAATCGATGTCTCTGAGCGCAAGTAAATCATGCGGAACATACAAAACCGATCATAAAAATTCCCGCTTGCTTCTTTCAATAACTGAAGAAAAAAATCGGGCTGACGCATATTTTTACAAAGACATTTTATGTCTCGACATGGCTAACAGCAAAATGTGTAGACCAATTCTGAAATAATGCATCGTTAAACGAAAATGCGCATGAAAACCCATTTCGTGCATGATTTTATTGGTATTTGAAATGATGTGTTGTTTCAATAAACATTTTTAAATGGAAATTAGATTCATAACACTCGCTTCAATTCATCATAGACTTAAGAATAACAAATCTTTTACTTTTTTCGAAATGAATTTAAATCAAATGCACAGATAGCATTTTTATCAATTGCTGAACACTTTCCTTTTAAGAACTCTTTAGATAAACATTTATCCATTTGCAAAACACGTATTTTTATATTAAAATCTGTATATATAGAGCAAACCTAAAGTTTTTATATTATTGAAATATATTTCAAGAAATGTTCAGCAAATTTTTTCTCTCCCTCTCCCAAACGAATGGCAAAAAAGACCAATGCAATCCATCGACATCTTGCAATACAAAGAAATAGACTCTATAGAACTGCCAAATGTCAATTTTATATGCTAGGATAATGGTTTAATTTGAATACCCTCTATTGCAGCTATATCTCGTTCGATTGCGATTATTATTTTTAAGATGACCTTTTTTTTCTCTATCAAGATGATACTTATTTGAGACTTATACAAATTCAATATAGGCTATTGTAAATAAAACAAAAGAGAATCTATTTACCGAATCGTATTATTAGATTAATGAAATCAGACAGATTTGAATGATTTAAATGATTTAAACATATTTCAATCAGTTCTTTTTCTTCAAAATTGTATGTTTCTCAAATACTTCGAGTAGCTATTAGCCAATAGTAATGAATTTAAGCGTAAAAGCAATTAGGAATCTTGATAAGTTGACAAAGTTTTTCTTCTAATTGAAATTTAATGGAATTTCAATTAATTTTTACCATTTTTACAAACTCTTTGTCTCTCAGATGATGTTTGAGCTTTACGAAATAATATTGTAAAATGTTTTGCTAGGCGGAAATAAGAGTTGTTGATATACAAATTCCGGTATGCATCGAATTTGAACATGTCCATTTGTCTGAAAGATATTTTTTAAACGAATTGTAATTTAATTAGATTTCGTATTTGTAAGCACACTTTTGAAGAAATACATTTTATTCTATTTTTCGTAATTAAAATCGACAAATCAAAATCACTTGACTTTTATTGCAAGCGAACAATTCCATTTTGAAACAGGAAACTCTTTTGAAACATAGTAGCACATTTGAGTTCGGAATGTGTTTGAATTCATCGACAAACAACGGGTAAGTGTTGAATGTGCACGTGCAGTCACTTAAAAACTGAAAAGGTCAAACCAAACTTTGAAAGCCACTTAATTATTCTTATTCGTCTTTTCCGCTGCAATACTTCAAGTGTCGCACTTTTTCTCTGCTTCCTTTTATAGACATAGAGGCGTCAAAATCGACAGCCGACAAAAGTGTAAAACATTCATTACGTGTCGCACGAGAGGAAGAAAAATCTGATGAGAAATTGCTTGACTGTGATTTAAGTACTTTTTATTTTCTTTTTTCTTGGTTTTTTCCCTTTCGATCGCTACATTTTTCTACAACGAATAGCAGATGCAATTACTGGCAATTTGCATTTAATACTTTTCACTACAAAAAATGCATGAATCTTTAGATTAAAACTCCACCATTATATATGAAAAGAGAAAAAAATTGAAATAAAAATAAAACGAAGAAGAGTGTTTCATTTCTGAGTTTATTTTTGCAGCAATTTTCACGATCAATGGAAAAAATTGTTCTTGAAAAATGTCCTGTTTTGACGAAATAGTCTTTACCGTTCAATGAAGTTGATGTATTTTTTTCTGATTGCAAATGTTCTCGTTTACATTAGGCAAGAAATTATTTCATCCAGATATTTGACATTCTGTCATTGCCACTGTCGAATTAAAAGTGAAAAGAGGATGGAAGCATAAGTGAAGAAACAAGAAATGTACCCATGAAGGGTGAATAACAGTAGATGCCTAAAATTACAGGAGCATAAAAATAGAATCAATACATCTGTGTCACATTGCTCACATTTCTCATCCGTTTGGAAATTGTCATTTTGAAGATAATCATATTTAGTGCTTGGAGGTTTGTCAAATAGAAAAAACCACAGGAACTATAAATAACAATTAACTGAAGAGCAACCAACGGAAAATGCAGTGGACTAATGGTATTTTGGAGAATGTTATCGAAATTCCAGGGCAATGAAAAGGCGGAATTTTATGATCGTGGTGCTGTGAATTTCGACAACATGCGAAGCTCATGAAACAAAATGAAGTGCCTGAGTGAATGTCGCACAGCGAGTAGAAGCGATAAAAACACACAATAAACACTTCATTGAGTTTTCAGTTGTCGTCAAATCACTGTTGCATTATCTATGGTACTTTTGCGTTGAACACATTTTGATTCTGTGTGTTTTGAGCGACAACCCATCGTTCCAAAGAACACACGCTGTGCGTCAGCCAGATGTACTTGAATGATTGAAAGATTGTGTTTCACAAACGGATTTCAACGCATACGAGCGTCATTTGTTGTGTGCAACGCGCCGTAACAAGAGAGAAAAAATGTAATGAAAACATCACACGAAGAAAACCCATATAAACCTGTCGAGTGGTGGAGGTGGCAAGAGAGAACACCGATGCCAGTTCAATATTTTAATCATGCAGCACACACGGAGCCAACATATTCGAAGAGAAATGCACAATTCTCTAAGACAAATTCACTTGATTCCATCATGATTGCGAATAAATCAATTTCAGTTTAATTTTTTTTACTTTGACATTCTATTATTTCGGTTCTCTATAATGATTTAATTCTGTCAATTTTTCAATATATTTTGGACTGCTATTCAAAATCCTATTTCTGGTTAACAGTGTCCAAGGTATCATAACCACAAAACTGTAACAAACTCATTGAATCCATACCGACAATGAACGATGGGCTGACAAACCAAACTTGTTCCCATTGTCAATCACATGAAAATTTTAGACTAAGCAAACATCCACATGACGAAAAGGTGGCCCATAGAAGACGGAAGAAACAGTCTCCTTTTCCGTACTTCCATGGATTTTGAGTTATCGTAATCAAACAACAATAGCCGTGATTCATATTGTGCACAGTGCATACATGTGATGCCCAAATTGAAAACGTCTGGTAGCCATAACCATAAAAAAAACATTGGCCAGCAAAGGGAGTGCTCACAGTTTGAAGTAGATTATTATGAGTGTGTGTGAGCGTGCGCCAAAAACATGTATATGTTTATTTGCATGACATTCCAAACATAAATAACAAAACCAATTGAAATATAGGTATAGAAAGAAAAAAAATGAATGAAATGCCATGATGTTTTATGTCATGCACAGAGGTTGAGCGTCGGTTTGGGTTTGGGATTGCAATCGTGAAACCGCCTGTAAATATAAAACAGGCGTTGTGATAAAATGGTATCGCCAGTTGAAAAAGGGGCCTCGACGACCATAAAAAATCATTTGTGAGTTTATTTTATCGTTTGGAAAAAAATGAACGGCTTTTTTTACCACAATTATACGGCTACAGGTCACATTTGTTGGATAGAAAGAATCGACTCGGGTATTCGAGCACTCAACTTTAATCATGTTCAAAACGTGAAAAATCAGGACCAAAATAAGTAGATAAATTATCTGAAATTTTAACATAAGTTATGGAAATGATTACAGAGCTACAGAGACTATGACAAATGCCGCAAACAATATGATTTCACAGAAGGTTCAATAAAACTATGCATTTTCGTTGAAGGCTCAACACATAAGGGATTTTTACGAGTTCATTCGAATGTCAAATTATTTTGATCTACTATTTTGAATGTCAAGTTCAAGAGTACATTTCCTTTTGGTTATGCAAATCTTCTGGTGTGACACAGCTCTATACTAGAGCCTCTAGTTGATTTTTTTGACCTATCTAATTTGATATCTTAGATCTATTCAATTTTCTTTGGCTTTCTTCATTCAAATTATCAGTCAAATTGGTTGGAAAATACAAACATACATATTCCTTTCTTCTGTCATTTAATCCAAGAAATAATTGTTGATGTCACTTATTTGGCAAAGCCATTGCTTATTGATACAATCTTATCTCTTTGGTGAACAAAAACGCCGTTCGTAAATAAAGATTTTGTATTGTGATCTTCAGTAATTAAATTATTATCATTATAAAATTACCAATGTTAAGTTATAGTTGATATTTATGAGCCGAACGAACGTTTTTTTTTTTTGATTAATTTCCCATTCCTCTCTCTAGAACAGAAGCAAATGTCGTTCTGTTTCTTCTTTTTTGGTTCGACTAAACCCAATTCAATGATTTTTGCTAGTGATATAAGCCTCCAAAGCCTATCTTGCTTTCGCCATATTTTTTTATTGCTCTGTTTACTGTGTACAACATTCCAAATATCACCCGAATTTGTCGCTATTACGATTGGTCGCCCAAAGTACACCAACTCAACGCAACAAAATAACGGCAATAAAATTATTATCATATCCAAAGGAGAGCGCCCGAACAAACAAAATATATAAGCAAAGAAATCGAGGGTGCACACAACACAACCAACGAATAATTCATCAATACGAGATTGTACTTTTGATGTTTTCGGTCGTTATTCAAGTTCGTTGTGTTATGACTGAAGTTGTACGCATGTTATGTAACAACATGAGATTTGGTACGAGCAAAAATTTTGCTTGGAATGTTACAGTATTCAAAATGAATGAGATTTTGTTGTGACCAATCTTGGATATTGGTCGTTAATACGGCGGTCGTTTGATGCGTTCCAAACAACGCCAAGGAATGCCATTTTCTAATGTCATTCACATTCAATGCTCAATCTTATTCGACTCAAAAATCTGGGTTGAAGCCATTTATCCAGAGACTGGAATGTCACAAAATATTGCGTATTGCAACAATCTCCACAGTTTGCTTCGAAATCTTGGGCTATTCGATCCTCAATTTACAACAAAGCAAGAAAAAAATGGTATGAAATGAAGCGAATGCGGTAGCTAGAAGAAAGTCAAATGTTCTGGAATAAATGATCAATTGCACAATTTGCGACATAAAAGTGAACGGAATCGAGAAAAACAGGGTCTTACAAGTGATCACGGTTCGCAATGGCAATAATAAATAATTGGTCGTGAAATATTGCTCAATGTCTGATTCGAATAAATTAAAATTATTCACTGGGCGTAAATCGTCCACAGCAGACAGTTCAAGGGACCCTTTTTTCTCTCTCTCTCTCATTTCACCATTCAAGTCACAAAAGCAAATACAACGCGAAACAAAATCAATTCAATTGGTTGGTGCCTTTGAAACGGTTGTCAATAAAAGTCATAACGTTCATTTCGAATAGAAACAGAAAAAAAGTCCAAAAAAGATTTATGTTGATGAAGTAATTACGACTATGGTCTTGAAATGCTGAAAGTGGTTGTATTGCCTCAACAAAAAACACATTGAGGCTCCTATACAATGATTCATTCCATGTCTGCACTCTCCGACTCTCCGTATTGAGTGAATTTTACTATGATGTAAAAACAACAACATTTCATGACCATAGTCGTTCATTTCAAGCCGCACATATATTCATGGAAAATTATTTTTAGACGATGATGATGATGCTTTTTACTAGGGGAATATCACGCTCCTGAATCTTGTGAGATATTTAAGATATTTGAAATAAGCATCAATTGTATGACATATTTTCGAATATTTCGAATAAATAAATCAGATTTTTGTGGATTTTGGAGATATTTGAGATTTTTTGCATTAAATACAAATAAATACATTTAAATATCATTCATAATCACAAAAATCCACAATATTCCGCCGTATTCACAAATATCCACCATATTTCATACGACAGATTCTTAGAGATAAATTGGATTCTTTTGAAATATTTCAAATAATTCAAGCGTGATATTCCCCTAGGATTTTTGCTGAGTTTCTTTCAGAGAAAGAGAGAGAGCGGAAGAGAGGAAAAGAGAGAGGTAGCCAAACTTAATCGGTACATTGAGGCAACAAATGGATTTGTACAGTCACAAGTCTTGATGTGTTACTTGTTAATCATGGCATCAAAGTCTTCAGAGTCACTCACTAAGTAAATGCTGTGTTTTCTTTTTATCTGTTT